TTTGAGACCAGGGCTCACTATTTAGTTGAGCCTGACCTGGAAGTCACTGTGTAGTCCAGGCTGGTCTCAAACTCATAGCGATCCTCCTGCCTCAGCCTCCTGAGCTGGGATTACAGGTGTGCGCCACCACGCCTGGAAGGATTTTTTTCTTGAACACACACAAAAACAGAAAAACTAGTTCAGGGGTCCCACACACTAATCACCCAGCATCAGCAATTTTGCCCTTATTTCATTTTGTCCCACTACTTTTTGGGAAAGGACTGAAAAATTAAAAGCAAATCTCAGTCACCATATTACTCTATCTACAGAAATTTTAATTTGTCTAAAACAGAGTTTTCCTCAAGAACATGAGCAAAGTGTCATCCTCACACGATAAAATTGTCAATATTCCTTAATATCACCTCACGTGTACACCACGTGTAAATTTCCCGATTGCTTACAAAAGTTTTGTTTGTATGTCTGTCTGTTTTGTTTTGCAGTTGGGGGGGTCCAACCTAAGGGTACTGTATCACAGAACCACACTTGAGCCTTTTTGAGACAGGATCTCACTAAGTTGCCCAGGCTGGGCTCAAACTTGCTATCCTCCTGCCTCAGCCTCCCGAGTAGCTGAGACTACAGCTACTCACTACACCTGGCAATACTTTTAATAATTGGTCTGTCTGGATCAAGATTCAAGTAGGGCCAACACATTTGCACTTGGTTAATATGATTCCTGAATCTGGCTTACAGATTAGGTTTCCAGGAGGGACACATTAGCCTCTCTACTCTTCTAATATCTTTATTTTCCAATTATGCAAATGAAAAGCTATCTAAACTTAAATTTAGAAGCACATACAGATCTGCTATGGAGTGGTGAGATGGTCTCCCAATGGGAAGCTGGCCGTCAGAACTAGGGGTATGGAGGAGGAGGCTCAGGGGTCCCGGGCCCCATCGTGACTGCAGGTGCTGGTGGAGTCCCGGAGTGCAGGCCTGGCGTTCTGGTTTCCTGGCTTGGCCGCAGTGGGCAGGAAGGTGGTGGGATGCCAGCAACTTGTGCTGCCCAGAGCAGCAAAGGAAGTGCCAAAACCGAGGATGCCTTGTTGTGGGGGGGGTGCACAGGAAACCGATCCCCCAGCCCAATTGAGCAACACAAAGCCCGTAGACCCACTGTGGGAATACCACACCCAGATGGACAGGAAAGGACACCAGAGACCAGACCAGGGTTACTTCCAGCTCTGCCCCACACCCACGCCAGCTGGAGAGAGCCACCCGCAGCCTGTACCCTAAGTAACAGCGAGGGGCAGGGTGATAATATAGTGCATTCACTATGGTTTGGATTGGGGGTGCTTTGGGACAGTTCCAGTTTCTAACCCAGAGGGTTCTGCCACTGGGCAACACCCCCACCCTACGTATGTACGTATGTGTTTAAATTCTGAGACAGGTCTAAGTTGCCCAGTTAGAACTTGAACTTGTGATCCCTCCTTGAGTGCTGGAATTATAGATACATGCTTGTTTTTTGGGGTTTTTTGTTTTGTTTTGTTTTTTTGCCCCTAGAGATTCACCAGTTAGGAGCCAGGTCCCAGGGTGGCAGGGTCCTTGGGAAGCATTAGAGAACTTGCAAGAGCCGGGCCCAGCCCAGCAGAAGCTCCTCGGGTCAGCTGGGGGCCTGCCCTCACAAGGGATGCAGGACCTGGCTAGTCCTCACAAGAGGAGTGCTGTGAAAGCTGAGCGTGCCCGTTCCCTGGCTGCTCTTTCTGCCTCCCGGGAGGCTTCCTCCTTCACACTCACTCTCCACCCATCACGGGGTGCTCACAGGAGCCTGTGCTGTGCCATGCGGACCACTAGCCTCTGACACTGTAAACCAAATACCACTCTTCTGCCTGCACAGTGAACTTCCCAGGGTGCCTCATCACGGTGACAACAAGCTGCCTAATGGGGCTTTGGCTCACGTCAGCACACAGAGAGATACATAAAAACCAAGAGAAGGCCAAATGACATTCTGGGCGTGGAAAGGGGTCAATGAGTACCCTACACTCAGTCCTACCAAGTCCCAGCATGACCCCTGACCCAAGAGAGGGGCTGCTAGGGATGAGTGGGAGTTTGTGTAGACAGAGAGTTCATACAGACCAAGAGGAGGGCAGGTCAAAGGCAGGCAGGAAACAAGCCCACGCGTGGAGGGCATTCACAGGAAAGCAGAGTAGGGGGCCCTGGGAGAGCCTGGATGGGACTCTGGAGCAGAACAGGGACATGGTGGAAAACTGCTGAGCTCCAAAGGAAACCCGCAGCGAATTGCACTGGATCACTGCCCATTTCTCAGTGTGGACTAATACTCCGTGTTAACGTCAGAGCACGCTATACGGTCTTTGTGGCTTTTCTGTAAGTCTAAAAAGAGAAAGGACAGAAGAGCAGGAGCACATGCAGTGCCCAGAGTGAAGGTTGCCAGTGACAGATGCAAGCAGGGGCTGGATTAGGGGTTCCCGTGCCACGAGTCAGGGTTCAGACTTGAAGCCCAGTGACAGCTTCTCAGCTTCAAGTCTGCCTAATTGTGTTCCACCTGCCCAGCCCTCCCACACCACACTAAGGCCCGGTGCTCACGCTTCCATGTGCACACACATACACACTGCCCTGCAGGAGCAGCCTGTGCCCAGCCCACCCTAGGCACAGCCAGGGAAGACAAGAGGCTCCTTCCTGGAGCTTACTCAAGGTCCAGGCAGCACCAGGCAGACGTCCCGCAGAGCACAAGGACACGGTCAGCAAGATGGGATGTGTGACTCACCTTTGGCAGTCCAGTCTCCAGGCCAGCCCAGCCTGTGTTGCTCGACCTAGGGACCCAAAGCCTTCCACCTGCTTCTTCCCCAACTTTGCTGCAGTCCGAGGTTGGCGCCCACCTGCGGAGCATGCAAGCACCGCCACTGGGAGGCGAGCTCCTCCACGGCAGGGGCAGGGGCAGGACCCAGCCCACCACGGGGGCCTGGCATGCAGAAGGTTCAGGGTGCATGCGAGGAGAACAGGACACAGCCCACTGGGCAGGGCATCTGGGGGAAAGGAGCTTGCTCTCCCTCTTTCCATCCCAAGAGTCTGGGACCCTGAGGAGGTCTCTGAGCACTTGTAACGACCCAGCCCACTGCACGATTCACGAGATACATGTCTGAGGTCCAGTCTGTAAGCCCTTCCACGGTCTCATCTGAGTCTTTCCCAACAGGGTCATAAGAGTCTCGACTTAGCCCATCATATGGACAAAGAAATGGAGTCTCGGGAAGGCAGGGAGACTCGCCCAGGTTGTCAGAGGACCCAGGAAGAGGCACTGGGGCTTCGGCCTGTGACTTCTACTTTTAAGTTCATTAAATTTTCCTGTAGTTCTCTACAACCTCCTAAGCAGGGAACAGCACACACACGCACGCACACACACACAGCCCTTCTCCTTCCTCCTGAATGCAGAAACACCATGCAATATTGTGTGGGGAGAAGAGCAGATGCCACCCAAGCTGCCAACGCCGCCCACTGAGCAAAGGGCAGCCCCCACCCAGGGCACCCGCCTGCCTGCCTGTCCCCACCCTGGCACCCAGCAGTAAGTCTCCGCTCTGCAGCTGTGGAAAGCAAGGCTCGGAATAGGCAGATACCAGCAGAAGCAAGGCCAAAGTGCAAAAAATGCCAGCCCCTAAGATGCCAAGGGTCAGCTTGCTGAGGTGCCTTCAGAGTGGAGTGTCCACCCCCCCGGGTGGGGGGAGTCACCTGCAGCCCTGTTCACACAGCTCGACAAAAGGCGAAAGTGGCAAAGGGAGGCTAGGGCTGTGCTGCTGCTCAGGAGGCTGAGGCAAAAGCATCACTTGAGCCCACAAGTGGGAGCAACCTGGGCAACTTCTCACATCTTTGTCTCCAAAACACTGGCAGTAGTGTCAGCGGTAACACATCCACCCACCCCACGCAGAGAAGCTTAGCTTCCAGGGTCTGGAGCCAGCCCACCTGAGCTCCAATCCTCCCCTGTTGCTTCCTAACAAGTCCGTGAACTCCCCTGAGACTCGTTTTCCCATTTATAAAATAGAGATGACAAGACATCAGTGTCACAGGGCACGTGCAGATTCACGGATCTGTATACATCAGAATCACACCTGGCACATAATATGTGGCCATCCAGCTGTGCGTTCTCGGGGTTTATTTTTGCATTAAGTGTTTGGAAAGTACCTACTGGTAATGGTAATCCAACTGGGAAGATTAACATTAAAAGAAAGGAAGGAAGGCAGGGAGGGAGGGAGGAAGTTGAAGCCTTCAGCCAGAAGAAATCTTTTAGGTCTTTCAAGAGGATGGTTCAGAAAGAAGCTGTTATAGGTGCAAGCTGAGAGGGAGGGTCAGAGCAGCCTGGGCTGATGGTGGAGGATGCTGGGGGTGGCAGGGGAACCCAGGGATGTGTGTGTGGCCTCAAAAAGGAGCGAGCAGAAACTAAACAGAGGCAAAGCTGAGAGCGTGAGGGTCACTACATGCCTTCCACCCGGCATTCATTAGGCACCCTGCTCACAGGGCACACTACTGAAAGCACACAGACGCACTGGAGAATAAACCATCTAAGCTCGCACTTGCAGCGTCCACACTCTCACTAGAAGAAGTAGATAAATAATACACATTCTGAGAAAACGCCACTCCCTGTCCCTCTCCTCCGGAGGAGGACAGGTCTTGAGAAATAGTTTTGCTGAGCAGGGGAGGAGGGGGAAAAAGAACAGAAATTCCCAGCTAAAGCTAAAATGCCCCACAAGGACTTTCCCAGGGCAGGGCAGGTGAGGGCCAGGAACTTGCCGGCTGGGGAACAGGGGACAAGGGTGGCTGCCACAGAACAGAAGTGAGGGTAAGGTATCCAAAAGCAATTTTCAGAGTGCTGTGCTCTTGTTACCGAGTTTTGGAATGCTGGAGTCTCCTTCCAGAGGTGCTCTCTAGGTTCTTTCTGTCCTGAGCAGATACTGGTCAAGACAAGCGCAAATGGTAGTGAGGTTTTATGTTTATTAAAGGCAGGAAAAGAAACAGGTTCTGCAGAGCAAGTTTGGCAGGGGCCAAGTAAAAGTAGGCAGAGAAAAACATTCACCCTACAGCACAAGAATGGACCCCAGTGAAAGAGCACAAGAGTGGGAGCTCAGGGGTGGCTGTCCCTTTTCGTAGCTCCCACTCCGGGCTGACATCAGGTCTAGGCCTATAAAAGACTTTAAGTTCTCACTAGAGGACCTAAAGATAGCACTCTCTGATTGGGACCACACACAGAGCTTTGGGAACTGTTCTGCAGTGTCCTGGGATTTTATAACAGGCTACACCCACTCTCCAACCAGTCCACCATGCCCTCATCCCCTGCCTCACTTTGGCATGTGAGATGTAACCTTTCATCTGCCCAAGCATGGAATCAAGGGCAAATCCACACTATATATAAGGGGTTTCCATGCTGAATGTATATGTGCTTAAGGCAATAAAAAGAAATAATGGGGGTGGGGATTTAGCTCAGTGGTTCCACCACATACCTCTCAAGCACAAGGACCCCCCTCAAAAAAAAGAAAGAAAGAATGGGTTGCTAGGCTAGGCTAGTAACGCACATCTATGATCTTGTCACTCAGGAGGTTGAGGCAGGAGGATTGTGAGTTCGAGACCAGTATGGGCAACTTAGCCAGAATTTATCTCAAAAAAAAAAATGACGTCCCCAAAGACTAGATGAGGAACCTACAAACACACACACACACACACACACACACACACACACACACACACACACGCCGCTGGACAGGTTGCAGGTTCACTGGCTTCCACTTTAGAAAAAGAATTTTTAGAATGCATCAGTAAGAGGCATCAAGAGGAATACCAGGCAGAATTCAAAAAATAGAGTGCAGGCCCTCAAGAAAGATGTGGCTGAGTCAGGGATTTGGGGGAGTGGAAATCTGTGGAATTCGTGAATCTACGGGAAGTTTGGGCTTTGTTTATAGGAGAAATGCCAAGGCCCGCCCACATAATGGGCTAGGAGGGGCTCGGGCTATTGTACTTCTCAAGGTCAGGCTTCTGCCCTTTACCTTAGCAACTAAACTAATGCAAAGTTTAAGAGATTGTGGGTGTAATGGGCCTGGAAAAGAAGTACACTATAAACAAGCCTAGAGAGTAAAGATACGGATAACCTTGGGTAATTGATTTGTCCTGAAGTTGTAGTCTTCTTAAAAGTATCCTTTTAAAAATCATGATTCTCCATTGTCTCCTTTGTATCTTTGTTTTTTCTACTCTACTGCATACCCTCTCGAGATCCTTTAACTTAATCCCGCCTGCAGTGTCCCCCACAAGTTGTGTGAAGGGGGATGTGCAAAACAGGGAAGGCGCATAACTGAATGGGTACAAGATTTGAATTTACAGCATGGGGAGCTCAGAAAGAAAATATGGGAGGGGATGTGAGCTCAAGGCAAGAGCTGAGAAGAAAGCAGAGGGTGACATATGTCCTTGCAGTTCTTCCACAAATGTTTACCAAGGACCTATTGTGGGCCAGCCAGGGACAGGAGGTTCAGAGAACAGAAATTAAACAAGTGTACTTTGGAGGAGCTCACCATCTAACTGTGTCTATATACAGGAAGCTGATGGAGGCCAGTGAGTCACACACAAGACACTCAGGTGAGGTTACCCAGGGAGGAAGACACTGGGGTGCTCACAGAGGCCTCATGAGGCAGTGGCACCAGAGTTTAGTAAGAGAAGCAGCAAAGAAGATTCTAGAAGTGAAAATAAACCAAGATGGCCACAGCTAGGGTGGGCTGAGAAGGCCTCGGTGGTGTGTAGACTGGTGTCCTCCTGCCTATTGCCCACAGTGGAGGAATAAGCAGTCCCAGGAAGGCTGGGTGTGACTGATCTCTGACCCGCCTGGACCCTCACTGTTCAAATATTATCATCAGGGGCACACAAGAGTCAAAGTAGATCCTGGGGTTTTTGCAAAAACTGAACCCCACCCAGGGGGAGCTGTTTTCCTCATCCAGCTCCACCAAGCCTGAAAGGCCTGGCCGCCTCCCTGTGATCTCCGACTCAGGGCTTACCCAGATTTTCCTCTTCCAATTAAACCAAATCATATTTCTTTCCATGTCCCCTTCCTGGTTGCCTGCAGCAAATGCACTTTGGCTCAGAGCCCTACTGTGCCATCTGGCTATTGCCAGAATGGAGGGGACTTTTCCAAGGCAAGGTGGCCAAGGCTGGTAGTGACCTGTGCAGTCTAAAACAGTAGTGGAACCAAAAGTGCACCGGGATCTCCATGCTGAATCTCAAGATAAGGATCCCCGAATAAATGCAATTTCCTTCTGTACTGTAGACTGCCCCCATGGTCCCTTGGGGGCAACTAATGCTTATCCTAGTAACAGGGGGCCACATGCCTCAAGTCTTCTGCAGATTAGCTTCTCCAGGACTCAGTTACCCTGAGAAGTGGTTTCCAGTGTGACCTGAAAAGTTTACAGTGCTTCTCCCACCAGAGCTCCACACACAGGTGGGGCAACAGGGGGAAAGCCTTTCTTCTGAGACCAGCTCTCCCAAGACTAGACCCTGGCGGAAACAGCACACACTAAGGGAGAAGCACCTCACGGGGCTGATCGAGACCCAGCCTGCATTCTTCCTCAGGGCCCTCACAGCGCTGGGCTCTGGGCAAGCTCTGCCCCTTCATCTGGCTGCTTTCTCTTCCAGCTCAACCCTTGCTTGTAGTTTCCTAACGCAGCCACCTGCCTGTGGCCAGGCTTCTGTACCTGTACTTTCCTGCTCCTACCCACTGACCTGACCTGCCAAAGGCAGCCTATGATGTCCCCGCCCTGGGGACCTCCAGTTTATCCGAGGACAGCCCCCACACTCGTGCTTGTTTCCACACTGCACCTCCACTGGGGCAAGGCTTCTGAGGTCGGGCCTCACTGCCTGCTCCTGGCCCTGGTTCTGCCTGTGACCTGCATGGACGGAGGTGGTCTTGCCTCTCCCGCACCCTCCACATCCTCAGCCCACATGACACCAGCAAGCTCTCACAGAACTCCTCCGATGAATGCATGCAGCTATGTCCCCTCTGTGCCCCAGTACGCCCCCCCCAAAGGCTCCTAAGGGTCTCTTCCCTGTCCTCTGCTCGCCTGCTCCCAGCACATGCCCCAACTTCAGCACCTCAACCTTCCCTCCTGCTCCCTGAAGCTCTGAGGAGGACTGGACCTAAGGATCCTCCTCCTGCGAAGCTCACTGCTGCCCCACCATCACCACCTAAATCCAGGTAGCGACCGGCCTTCAGTGACCCCTCCACTTCCGGACCGCGGTCCTGCACTCCGTGTCCCTAGACCTGGTCCTCATTGCCCACACCCCTCTGAGCACCTGGGAGCCCGAGCAGTGCCTGTGTCCAGGGCGTCCGCGGCAGGGCAGCCCGTTTTTCTGGCCCCAGCTATCCTGTGAGCACCCTAACCCCAGCCTCCAGTCCCACGCAGCAGCAGGCGTCCGAGTCCTGCGGAAGCTAATCCAGGATCTGATCCATTACCTTCCACCCTTGTACCTAATGAAATAAAGCAGAAATGCAAAAAAGTGTTTTTGAACGGATCAATGACATAAATCTAATGATACTAAGTCGCTTAATAAAAGTTACAATGCACTGATTGGCGGCTATCTGTGCTGAGCAAAATTTTGGCTTCTTTGGGTTTCTTAATCTTTCCTTCTGTGTTAGAAATAATAAAGCTAAATTCATGGGGGGGGAGCAAAGGGATTAAATGCACTCCACACCCAGGCGTGGGCCTCGGGAAGGATCAGAAGAGCGCAGACTCGGCACGGAAGAGGCTGAGCCAGCACGGCAGGGCGCCCCACCTGTGGCGCTGCGCCCAGAGAGGGAGCGGGGCAGGGCCCGCAGGCCGAAGGGGCACGAGGAGGAATCGACTTAGGTCGTGGTCGAGTGTGGGGCGCTCCGGGAAGTTTCCGGGCGGAAGAGAACCTGGAGCGCGGCAGGGCGTACCGCCTGGCTGCAGAGCCCCTCTCCCTCCAGGCACGCTCTTCACCTGGGCCCAGACCCGGCCTCAGAACTGTCGGGGTCGGAGTCTGATAACGACTTTCAGGGGCCCCTGGGCCTCACCTGCCAGCCCGCTTCTAATCCCTCCTCCACTGCTCGCTTTGCCACGCGCGCAAGGCTGGGAGGTCTGCAGGGGGGCGAAGCGGGCCCCGCAGCTTCCCCGCCGGCGGAGGTCTAGG